GACTTTATATGCCCGAAGGCCTGTCTGTGTCCCATTTCTTTCCTGCTTCATTGCTCTCTTCAAACTGAATTGTGAGTTGATAGGTTCCTCTGACCCCGCGGGCTGTACTCTACTTGGTCCTTTCAGCGTCCGTGCATTTCTCTCTCTCCCCGTCGTTTTTTCCTCCGTACGGACATGGAGGAAAGCCGGTTTCCTCCCGCTGGGATCACCCTGTTCCTTATTGGGTGTAAGCTTTGGCGAAACAAACCGCAAGGATACGAAGCCATAATTATGGCAGCAACACAGCAGGATTTAACTAGGCCTTGTTTTTCCTTCTTTCTTTCATTTGGGCTATGGGTGGACGGGGCATCCTTGCCCAGCTCATGTTAAGCTATGTGGTTGTTGAGGAAGCCACCCCTCTTGCTCAAACCAGTAAGGATATGACTATTACGAGGGAATATTCCAGGGGTTAGGAGAATACGTAACCTGTGTGGACTGTTGGTCTTGCGTGCGAAATCTTTGAGGTTGCCAACATGCTCTCAGCTGTGCTTCTCTGCATGCAATCAAGTGAACAGGGTATGTTGGCTTTGTTTGTGGAATGACTGTGCGTCAATTAGACTTCTCCCTCTCGCTCGTTTTGCCTTTTGGGCCATAATTGGTTCCCTTCCCTTCACTTTGCGTTTTGTCCAAGCGGCAAAGCTGATAAGCCTGTCGACAACAGAGATTACACTAAACATGAGGACTATCTGCTTGTGGTTTTATTGCTTGTCAAGTCAATTCGCACTTCTTCGTCCGATTTTTGCGCGGGGCTACGCCTCGAGCCTACGCCTGGAGCCTGAACATCCAGTGTCTGCTGCTCGGTGCAAGGTCCGGAATAGTGGCCGGTGACTGTCTCCCTAAAAGATAATATGTTCTGTCATTAAAGTGACCGCGACCTGCGCGGAGTTGAGATTTCACGTTCCGCATTATCTGCAGCTCGGCCACAGGGTTTGTGCCAGAAAAGCGATAGTTCTGCTCTGGCTGGGGTCGAGACAGTCTGAGGTTCAAACATGATCAAACTTACAAGTTTCCACAGGCCGTATGACAGTAAATGACAAAGCTTTGAAGGAAAAAGATGGCAGAATTAACAACACAAAAATAACAACAGATTTATGTAAAACAATCTCTCAAAACTATTCAAAAGTGATGAACTAGACCCCCAAACCCCTCCAGACCCCTCCAGGACCCCTTCACCCCCTTTCAGAAAGAAGTTACTTTCACTGATTTTGCCCTGTCTGGTCAAAGGTTTCTGTGCGCTCCCAGCATCTGCAATCAAGATCTCCACTATGACTTGGATATCTCTGCCTGGGCCTGTCGTCTAATGCATGACCCATGCTCGTTCCTGCTGAAAATCCAAAATCGGACATACAATCAAGTGGCCAGAACTCCAATGAGGCTTGTAACAGCATTCGTATGATCTCAATCCGGCAAACAACGGTTAATGTGATCAATCAAAAAATGATAGATGACCACTGAAGTACTGGTGCGCAGAATCTACATGAACAACGCGCATTGTTCCATTACAACGCCGAGTAGATGATAAAAAATGGAAAAGGAAGGGGAAGAGTAAGCGGGAAACACAGGAACAAACGACAAAAATGACAATGCAACAGCCACGAGAACAAGCAGCAAGAACAAAATGATAAAATGATGATAAGGTGCATTGCTACCAGAACACCCCAATAATGGCAAATCACTTGTTGTTCACCTCTGATTGTAAGCATCTCTAAAGTCTGGGAGTGTCTGGCCTTTCTGCCTGGGAAGAGAACGTGCGTTGCTCCACTGTTGCTCAGTGATCCCCACTGCTACAAAATCTACAAGGCTTGTTCCTCCGCTCTGGATCTGCTTAGCTGCGAGGGATATGGTTGCCAAGCGTGCAGGCTGCAAGCTCACGAGGCCATTTGAACCTAAAGGAATGATTGAATTGCCCTCCGTGAGCTAGCGAAGTGAAATGCTTGCAAAAGGAATCTCTGATTTACACATATCTGCAGGACGTTGAGCAGATCGTGGGGAAAACTCCGTGCAAATCACAAAGCAATACACCACATGACGACTTCGGTCCTGACTGGCAAGCTCGGCAACTGAACCAGAACCCGACGTTGAAGGGAAAGGCTGCCATGCCTTCAACTCTTCGTTGGATGATTGCCAGGAAGCAGATCCAAAATTGCTTCACCGTCATGACATGTCAGACCGTGGTTGACACGAGGCAAAGCAAAGCCCAGCTCTTGTAGACTTTCTTTCTGGAGCTCCCACATTCCTGCCTGCCCAGCATCTCCAACGCCCTGCAAATACCAGACCAGGGAATCTCATAATTCAGTGGCGAACTTTAACACGACTGGCTTTCTGAAGACCATCTGTTGCAGACTGACGTGAGACTCAGCCAGAAAGCTTTTGTAAGTGGGTTCACCAGTTCACCGCACATTATGACAGACCAGCTGGCCTTAACAGAGCCAATCAAATCCTTTGGCAACTCCGATGGAAAAGGTTGCCAAACCTGGCAAGGCTTTTGACGCTTCTTCTGGTGGTAGTGGTGGTGCTCTTAGCTGGAAGCTGGAAGCTGCTGCGGAAGGTGGCGCATGACAACACCGTCAATGCCTCCGTGGAGCTTGGAAATGTTGCCGGTGCCTAGGCCGATGCATCGTAAACTCTTGGCTTCACTTGCCGCACATAATTGGGGCCTGAAAGCTGGAGGGGGCCGTAAATCCTTCCACGAGAAAAGCTTCCAAGCAGGCCCTCGCATCTACTGGTGCGAGTTGACAGCACCTGCACTGTCCTGCGTTCGTCGTTTGCTCAAGCTTCTGCTCCAGGTAATCCAGCCCGAATCTCGAAACTTCAAACTGATGCCACTTGCCATGAATAACTCCCAGTGTTTCCAAGATTGCGTAAGCTACCCGCTGCACGGAACCCTCGGTCTCTGCGTCCAACTCTTCATTCTTGGCTATTTCACACATCATCAGGATTTCGTGGCACACTTCGATTATGAAGGACTCAGCGCATGGCCACATCTGCATGCGGGAGGAGAGCTTCATGCGGAACGATGGCACCAACTGGAATATCCTCGCCTTCTGGAACCCAGATCCACACCCTCAGCAACAAGTGCACATAGACACGGAGAGCCTGCAACCTATGCTTGTGACTGCAGCTGAGGCCACAACCCGTCTTGGTCCAGTGGCGGCGGAGGGGGGGGTGGCAAAACCTTTCCGCAACACACGTGACTACCATCAGAAAAAGAGAATTGCTGGCAGAACCTCCCAAATAGCAGACCACCCAGCTGGCTTCGGAGGTCGCTCCCAAAGCACAAGCTGGGACACCTGAGCAAAAATCAGGTAGGTTCGCGGACGGCGGCGACACCATGCGGGTCGAGCACCTCTGGCGACTTTATCTGCAGTTCTCGTTTCGCCCTTGGGATGCAGTTGTCCTTTTGCCAAGCTCTACATCATTGCAGTAGCATGCATATCCCCAAGCTGCGCACACCGGAAGTGAAAGCGATGCCGCTTGCTGAGGAGTTGGAATCCTTGCCCAAAAGCAGCCAACAAGCTAGAAGAATCTAAGTTAGTTAGAACTGCCTTCAAAGCCACTGGACGAACATCTTGTGCGTGGCAAATAAAGGGTCAGGTCTTTGTTTGTGCTACATTGGCACTGCATACATGCTGCGCTGGCAGCCAGCACACCACATGGCATGCTGCTTGCACCCGCAGCACAAATGAAAACTATTGCCTACTACGCAAATCAATATAAGCAAATTAATAAACATCTACAAGTCGAAGGCTTCAGCTGTTGATGCTCAGGAGGCGTAGGTCGAACACAAGGAGTCCTGTGCAGAATTGCAGGATGCGTCTCATCTTATGCCCACCATCTTAGCCCAGTCCTGGAGGCAGGCCACGACTTTCCTCCGCTCTTTCACCGAAGGCCAGCTTTCCTGGTATCCAGAAGCGGCGTGTTTCGCCTGTCGCTTGTCTCTGGCATTTTCTGTGGGAGAAAATCTTCAAAACAAGCTGTTCCTGCGGGTGCCTTCTACCAGCAGCTGCAAAGCTTCCTTCAGGCCTTCAATTGGGACCTGTGACGAACAATGATCAAGTTTTGGTTTTCAAGATGCCAAGTAAAAAGCCACACCTCTTTGACCAGAAAGGTATCTTGGGCTCCAAAGGATGTTGAAAGTACCAGGTCTCCGTTTGAAGACCATCCATTGTAAAGGGCAGTTACGTTCCTGACAGGCTGCAAGCATAATCGAGTGCGATGCCAAGATACAAACATGCACACAGGTTTGCGTCATCTCCATCTTCTTGCTGGCTGAGCAGCGTATCCAGTGATGGGTTAACCTTCCCGCTTCCTGTTGCAGGTTTGGTCATGTCCCATGGCCATGCAAGGACAGCCCCCCGACATGATGCCAGAAGACTTCACACGTCTCACACTTAGCAACTGTGCTTGCGAATGCGTATTCAAGCAACTTCGCAGCCGCAGAAACGACAGTGGAACTTTATCACTGTCTCGCATCTCTTCAGGAACCTTCCCCAGGCGTCCTGGCTTAAGCTTTCGATAACCCAATCCACTGGGAGTGAAGACCTTGGACTCAATAATGCACCAGTGACCCCTGCTATGCAAAACCTGGATGTTCGAGCTTATCAGCTAAGCCCGCTGGGATTCCCACAGCGTCTGATGGCGCAGCTTGAAGCCTCAAGCGTTGAGCGCATGGATGACTCGGAGTATGGATAGGGCAGTTTGAGAAACCAGGTTCCCAGCTCAGCAGGTGGCTTGGGCTGCCTCCAAGTGCATCTGAACTTGACCCCTTCTTTGTGAACAGTTGAGCCAGCACTGCTTCTACACAGGGGAGGGGTTCGGTCCTCTCAATTGAGTACAGCTCAACGTCAAACACCAGTGGGCCAGTGGGCTTCGTGGTAACCTGCAATGGGAAGAATGTGTTGCTGCTTCTTGAGACTGCAGATGAACTGGACCAAGCAGCGGATTCGTTGCTGCCAAACGCCAACTCTGCAGGAATCCAAAACCGGCGAGACTCGCCAGGCGCCATCATCTGCAGTCCTCCCGGGCAGCAAAAACCAACTAGGCATTGCTCTTGCTTCACATTGCAGGGCTCAAGTTTCAGACTTGTACTAAGACTGTGTCCTGAAACTCATGCGAGCTCGAACACACAAGTGCACACACAAAAAAAAAAACACCCCGTTTTCACGGGCACCGGGCCAAGCACAGGCCATGACCCAGTGCAGCTGTCACTGTTCTCACTGACAGCTGGAGCTGGAAATCTCACGAAACATGAAGCGTCGTGCAAGGAAACATATGCAAACATACGCAAACATGAAGTCGGTGATGCGCGTGCATGATTTTTACCTAAATGTTTCAACAGTAGTACCTGAGCAAGAATTACCTCTGGACCGCGATGCCCTGATTTCCAGGTTCCATAGACATCAGACACCGTAGGATTGTCCAATCACAGGATGGCATCAGATGTGCCAGCTTCGTTGCCATGTCCCTCACAGTCGGTCCTTCCGTCCACCCTGGCATGACAGAATTCACCCGGACCAAGCGCTTCTCGTTCCTGCTGCTGTCGATCCTGGGCTGCCCTCGCCAGAATCATGGCACCTGAGTCCTAGCTTGCAAGTAGGGCGCATCTTGCCAGCCGGGGTCCATCCCGTATAGTCAATCAGGACCTGTCTTGGAGGAGTATTACCGCTCAAAGCTGACTTGAAACAGCTGTAGAAAATCTCTCTGGTCATAGCCTCTCATTGTAAGTGCGCTGGAGTCTTGCGTCTAAGCACTTGCAACGGCTCATTGTAAGCTCGAAATGCAGAACAGCTTTCACGGTAAGCCTCTGCAGGTATGTAACACACAGATTAATCATGACTACTCCAGCCTTGTCCCACGGCTGTGGCCTCTCGCAAGAGGGATCCCTTACTGAGCAAATGGGCTTGATGAAGCTTGCGCACATGAAATCTGGTGAGTGACTTTGCGGCTCTGACATCAAAATAGCTTTCCAGCTTGGATGCGTGAGTGGAATGGATTTAGATAGCGCGCAGGTCGGCCGCAGGAGTAGCTTTGACTTCAAGCCACCTGAGTGTTATGTTTGAGCTGTCTTCGCACTACCTCCAGAATGGCTTCTGATAATGGCCTATCGCATATGGAAAAAGACTGCGACTGTCAGCTTCAACCTACATGCGCCCCCAGAGCGCTGCTGACCTTTGATAAGCCGCTTGAAGTGATCTCCACATCGGCTGGTGGTGCGGTGACATCTTTTGGAGCTTGTGGATCCAAGAATCCTAGGTCCAGACCTTGAGCAACACCGTCATAGAGCAAGTGCTATAGGCGGTCAAAAACTCCCCGCCTGCTGCATGGGCAGGCAGTTTCTCAGCGACTCCCGCAGAGGCCGCAGCATTGAAAAGCAATCGTCTCCTAGCTCAAACTAACAAGCGTGTCCTGCATTCGCCTTTCTTGAAGGCTATGACCCCAGAGCGTGAACAACACTGACATAACAACATGGGCCTGACTGACCAGGACGGGCTGGGGACAGCAGTCTGAGATCTCTGGCTGCACAGCCTGCTTTCGGAGTTGCTCACCACATGCCCCCAGAAAGTAAACATGGCGAAGCATGCACGACACTGCCAGGAGGTCCAGGACCCTTGCAGGGCAAGCAAAAGGAAGGACAGGATTAGAACAGGCGGAAGTCTGCGGCGCGCCATTGCAGCAGTACTGCCTCCACGCCCAGCTATTACAATGCAGATTGCAGCTGCCATATGTGTTTCCTGAAAGACCACTAGAACCTGAGAAAGGGTGTGTTTTGGAACATCAAGACTAAAACAGCGTGAGCCTGTGGCTTGTCAGAAGCACGAGAAGTCATAATGATGCCTGCGTTTGTCGGTTAAGCCATTCTCAGAGTTCCTTCGGAAAGGCTACGAATGCATTTAAAGCTCAGATACCGCGGCATAGCAAAGAAGATTCACTCCGCTAGAAACACCAGTGACACTGCTACAGACATAGAGGCATCCAAGGCCCGAGCATACGGGGCGGCTGCATGGACCTTGGCAAAAGGCGATTCAAGACAGTTGAAGCTGGCGAAGGCGACAACTCAGGGTACCGCAATGGCACCCTGGGCCCCTCTGGTAGGGGAGGCATTGCCGGAAGGACTTGGCCTGGAAGCAGCGGCTCTGTGTCTTCTCGGGCGAAAGCCCTCGCCATGGGGTGGAGGACCTCAGCAGAAGCCAAATGCTTCAACTTCACGGGCCATCAGCGCCTGAGGTGAGCACTACAGCCATCTTGCGAACAGCCACCCAGCTGTCTCACAACCAACGTACGCTGAGCCCAATTGCGGTAAGACAGGAAGTTCAGCTTACTGATGTTGGCGCTAGGCAAGATGCAATGCCAGTCTCGTGATTAATTAGATAGCGCCTAACCAAGATCACTTGGTATCCAAACATTGGCAGTCATCTTTCCAAGAAGCGAGACAACATCAACATGAATCGTGAGACCAAGAGTGCTGTTTGGGATAACACTGGATTTTGATATCAGATTTGACTTAAAATCGATGTCAAGTCATGCTCGGAGGAGGTGCTGCAGTCAGCCAGGGGCTTCACTTGAAATCGATTTCAAGTCTCTGAAGGGCGGTATGTTCAAGCACAAGCAGGGACTTAAAATCGATTTTAAATGTTTTTTGGGGCATCCTCCGAGGCCAACTTAAAATTGAATTTAAGTCTTTCACATGCTCCTCATTGCTACTAGTGGCAACCACTTCTTGTTTCTCCCTAGCGGGGCTGCTTTTTGGTCCTTTGTGCGCTCTGCTCCCAGGTTTTTTGTTCCTCCGGGCTTATCAACAGGAACTCTCCGAGAAGTCCTTTTCTTTTTCACCTGGCGTTCACAGGCCTTTAGGTTTGGAAGGAACCAAACCTGCATGTCATTTCTCGTTACTCGGGATTTCGTGTGGGGCCTTTGCAAAGGAACTCTCCCAAAATACAGTTCCGTTTCACCTGGCGCTGTTCAGGAGCCTTTAAGTTTGCAAGGGACTCGACGTGCATGTATGTCTTCGTGCCCTTTGAAAATTGAACTCTCCCAGAAATCTTCTGTTCCCTGGCATTGTGTAGAAGTTTGAAAGGGACCCGATGTGTAAGTAATTTCTTGTTACTTGGGATCTCGTAGGGGCCTTTTGCAAAGGGACCCTCCTAGAGGTCAATTTCTCTTTTACTGGCATTGTTCAAGTGCTGCTAAGTTTACAGGAGACCCGACGAGCGTGTATTTTGTTGTTACTTGGCATTTGATAGGGGGCCTTTGGAAAGGGAACTCTCCTGGAAATCCGTCTTATTTAGATGGCATTGTCTAGGGGGCCCTTTGGGTTGGAAAAAGGACCATGTCTCGTCTTGTTACTTGAACCGAATACCTTGGAATGACAGCCTTTCAGAAAACCTTCTTGTGAAAGAGTAGAAAGTGTAGGACATCAGCAATATAGGTTTAAATTTTGTTCGAAGACTTATGGGACAAACCCTTGCGATAGGAGAACTTGAAATCGACTGTACATGTGTAACATGGGCTATAAGCTTAAAACTGGTTCTAAGACCTACAGGACAAACTCTTGCATGAGGATAACTTGAAATCGATTGTACGTACTTACCATGGCGTAGAAGCTTAAAATTGGTTTTAAGATGTACATGAGAATTTCTAGAATCTCTCGTACGAGGAAGACTTGAAATCGATTCTAAGTGTTGCCATAGGATACAAGCTTAAAGTTGGTTTTAAGGTGTACATGAAGTCTCTCGTACGAGGAAGACTTGAAATCGATTCTAAGTGTTGCCATAGGATATACGCTTGAAATTGGTTTCAGGGCCCACCTTATGAGCAAAACACTTAAAATCGATTTCAAGTCTCTGGAAGCTGGACGAATGGGGGAATGGGAGGTTAAAATCGATTTTAAGTCATTTACAGGGCTTCCCCAAGGAACCACTTAAAATCGATCTCAAGTGACCCAATATCCGAATCCCAAATTGCTGCAAGCATGACTTAAAATCGATTTTAACTGGACCTTGAAATCAAAATCCAGTGCTTTTCATCCTGTTTGTTTGCACAAAAATTTTAAAATTATGCATCATTGGCACGATGACATGTTCTGCAAAGATGTTTCAGTGCATGCCGGGCGGGACCTCGATCCACCAGCCACTCTACAACAGGTCCTGGAAACCTAGAGCATCGAAGCAATAGGATGCAAACATGCAGTCCCAACAACTTCGGCCATCGTTCGAGCGCATGCACCTTAGCAGGGCCTCTCTGAGAGCAAAGCATCTTTAGCACGTCATGGAACAGGAATGTCGCGAAGTTATGCTTGCTGCGTCATCGTTCCATCATATTTGAAGAAGCTTGAAGGTCCCCTGAAAGCAGACGTCCACGTTCCAGGAACGACTGCGGTCCAAAGCAGATTGGCAAGAGACGGACAGGCAAAGACAAAGGCAGGACACGAACCAAGGCTAAAGTTCATGTCCCTTGCGACCAAAGCAAAGACTGGACATGCAGACAAATGCAAGTTGAAGACTCAAGCCCGCCCCTGCTGCTAACTTGTTTCGAAGCTCTCCCAGACTGTGTCCTTAGCTGTGCGGTTGCCTCACTGTCGTCAGGCCGGTCAGGTTGAGAGAGGTGATTCATGCTCCTCCTCTATTTGCTTTCCCAAATACTGGCTCAAGAACCAGCTGCTGAAAACATGGAGGCTTTTCGAAACTGCACAATGCTATCCTACTAAGACTCTGTGAGGCAAAATGACAGAAGCATGCCTTAAACACATGCAGGCACCAATATGTAGAGCCTTTCAAAACTACATGTACTGCTGGCGAAAAAAGTGATGTCCTGCATTTTTTGACGCACAAGCCTGTAGCGCTCCGACTTACCTGCGACTTACTTGGGGCACACAGGGCAGCACTGGCCATTCTCAGCTGTGGCGGGGATCTCTTCCTTCTCACACATGGTCGGAAAGCACCACACGTAGGGGCAGAAGTCGCTCTCTTCTGCACCAAATTTGCCGGTGGCTCCAACAATCTTGGGCTCAATCTTGATGTTAGGATTGACACAATACGCGCAGCAATGGCCATCATACTTCGTTGCAGTGAAGCCGGTTGGGCACTTGAGCTCTCCACACACAACGTCCTCACAGGCGTCAACAATGTCGTCCGTGGCCTTCACTTGCACCAACATCTTTGTGTGCCTGTCCTGGTCCATGCCTAGGACCGCATTGCCCCCGAGCAAGCTCTTTGGAAACGAGGGCTCATCAACTTCCTCTTGCTCAATGAGGTCATCTGCCTGGCTTGCTCCTCGAATGTTTGTGGCAAGACCAATGTTCACAAGAGCGAAGACCAGCAAGGATTTCACGCAAGCCATGCTGGAGGGCAGCGGAAGCGGCAGGGCCCAACTTCAATTGGTACGGATCGTTGAACAGCTCGCGCTGCAGAGATGCTTTCTAAGATTCTAATGTGTAAGATAAACTTTTGTAACGGTGCAGCTCAAAAGATTCGCCGCTTCAGCCCCCTTTTGAACTTCTATAGGCATGTTGGCTCCTTTGGCCTTGCACGATGAACTGCGGATCACACTGCAGATCTTAAGCTGCACTTGCTCGCTGTTCCATCTCACTCAGAAGCCTCCCAGGGAGCAGCTACTGATACTGTAGCCGGTCTCCTCAGATCTTCAGCTCTTTCAGCAGATTGCTCCCAACGATCCCGGACGTCAATGCACTCGAGCCTGCAAGCTGGAAGGCAAGCACGCTTCAAATGAATGGACTCCTCACACAAAACACCCAACCACGCGCTGACTGAAAGGATTCAGTCTTGAAGGATGTCGCGTGTGGCAAAAGAGCAGGGGCAACTTGACTGAGGCACGCCTCATCCCAATTGTAACCGGATCGTCCTCGCCCTTCTTCATGAACTTGCGCGACTTTACAATCCTGAGCACCAAGCATGTTGTGCAGGTTCCAAGTTCGTCCCTCTCAGTGCAATGTCCTGGGGGCCATCTCTTGAAAGTTCGGCATGATGGCAACAGCAGGAACCTGCACAGAAACCGCCACTGAAATCCATCCGATGAACCCTCCAACCATGCAAGTGGGATTCCAGCCACGCCGACGAATCAAAAGGTAGCGTGCGGCAATCACAGCCACCGTCTAGACAGTGCACGGCCAGCCTTCAGTCTGGCCCCACTTTCGCCCTGATCAGAATGAGGCAACTTGGGGAACAATCAACCCCAGCCATGTAGGAGCCTCACCTCATCCTCGCGGAGGAAGCGGCCAGCTAGCATGATTGTCTGTCCAGGGATGCAGACAGGCAAAAGGTTGCATAACTTTGTAACGGAAAGTGCTGCATCTGAAGGCAGAAGGTGTCTCAGACCAGAGAGCAACACGTTTTGGTGCTATGCTACTACACCGCTACCATGTCTGGTCTGGAGATGGAGCTGATTTGCTTGAACATATTCTGTCTAAGCTTCTGGAATACTGGCGAACTTCAGCCCAGCCCATCAGCATACAGTCCAGAAACGGCCTTAACGGCCAAGTGTAGTTGGCGAGGACCTTTACCCAAAACCACAGCAGCCGGATTCTCCCTGAAGGCAGCACCATGTCAGGCGTGACAAGTTCTAGTGCTACACTGCAATTCAGTCGGCTCGGTTCTGAAAGGTCTGCCCCTATCTTCTCTCGAATTTATACTTCCTCTCAAAAAATCTGTCTGTCCTGATTCTGCTGCGTCCCTATCGCCTGTGCTAGGCACGGAAACAAGGGATGGTTTGGCAAAGGATGGGCTGCGAGTGTGGCCAGCCAATTTTCTATTGCAAGTATGGAGAGTCATGTAGCAAGAGCTACAACATGAACCTTCAAGAAATTCCATTTATCTATCGACCTGCATATATATATATATGGGGGTCACAGATTTATCAAGAATCATGCATGAACTCTGCTGTTACTGCAACAAGCAGGGTACCGAAAAAGTGGCCTGACATGCGCCTAAAGTCATGCCTGGTCCACATCTCCCAATGAATCACACGAATCTGAAGGGCGCATTGCATTGTCCTTCTCTCTTTTCAAGTCGTCTTTCCCGATGTGTGCCTCTCTTCTTCTATCTCCTCCTTCTTCTTCTTCTATGTGCTATGCGCATACCGAAGGTTGCACTCGGGCTGCGCCCGAAGCACAACGGTCCACAAGTGCACAGAAAGGTCAGTGCCATCCACAGGGGTTGAGCTACCTCTCTCTCTCTCTCCCGCTCCCGCTCTTTCTCTCTCCCACTCTCTCTTTATGCCATGCAGGAGGCAAACGTCATGCCCGGCCTGAGGCGATTCTTGATGGCTGCAGCCATCTTGGGCATCTTATCCTTGTCGCCTGCTCAGAACATCATAGCGAATTTCCACCCAAGCTTGACAACTGAAATTTCACAAATGACCTCACACCACACTGCAAGTTACTTACATTGACAATTTTCAATAGTTTGGTTACGATGAAATACCAGCCTGTGGTCAAGATCTGCTTGTCCTCAACTGTGATATCTTCCAGCCTGGAAACATGAAACTTCTTTTCAATGGGATCTTTTGGGCTGCTCATCATGCACATGAAGAGCCTGGGACGCGGCAGCAGCATGCACTCAAGGAACAAGACATTTGCAACATCATCCTGCAATCCCGACCGAGCTCAAGCAAAACTTGCACTCATCATTCTGCAAGCTATCAAGGTCCTTGTCGTCCAGTTTGACTTGCTTAAAATAGGGTACAGCACCAAGGACCTTCAGGCTCACGGACTGGATTGAAGCAAACACCACCATCATTCGCGACGCCTGCTCACCTCGAAGATCCGTTCCTTGCATCATCCTTAGACCATTTAAACCGCACCTGGATCGTCAAGAAATGACTGACCGCTGCTGAAGCCTTTATTCAAAACAAGCATCTCGTTGGCAATGGCAAGAGCCTGGAGTCTTGAGTCCATATCCAATCACGCGGTCGCGTGCTAGGCTTGAGCAGTCTGTGCAATCTGGCAGCCAGGCGGCCTTTAATGCTGTATTCGTCGAACGCTCTCCGACAGCTCGCATGACCGCTCGCCCATTGACTTGCATGCCTTCTTTGATTGCTGATGCAAAGCCTTGGTGTTGAGCAGGGACAAAGAAAGCAAGGAATGTGGTAAGAGCTGAGTGACGTTTTGGACTCCTCCTGCTGTTGACGAAAACATCATGATTCGGGTCCTGGATAAGGCCAGCAAGTCAGGTCGGCAAGTGGGCCGCTTCCAATGGAATGTAACAAGGCAAAACAATACATGCGAAGCCGAAACATGTCCTTCTCGTTCTTCTCACGTACCTGCTTCCAACGTTCTTTCCTTTCTGCTTGAATCTTTTCCCTGACGAAGCGTTCAGAATAGACACTTGGCCGGAACCCGTTTTGGTCAAAACCAATTTTTTGCCTCTCTGGATCTGGAGGGGTGGGCTGGTCCCCTTTGGACCAGATGGTGTCGACCTAATGGGACGTGCATTCATGCACTGTAGATTCACCAGCAGCTTACATTATGGTACATAGCAGAGGTCGCTGGCAGCTGAGGCCTCGGCAACCGCACTTTCTGCGACTTCCGCTTGCCGTCCCACCTGGGCTGCGAAGGTTGAAGAGCTGCCGCAACTACTATGTCTTGAAAAAGTTGAGTTGTTCACTTCAAAATGCTTCCAAGATTCCAGATGTCTGTGCCACCTGCCTCCATGCTGCAAGCTTCCAACGAAAGCCGCGAGACTACACAACTTTGCCACTGCCTTGGATTCATAATGATGTGTTCTGGCATCTCCAACTACAAGCGTTGGGAAGCGTACGCCTAGTTCGCGTCGACTATTTGAAGCCAAAGCTCTGTAAAACTCAGCGCGGCGGCCAATTTGCTCGTTCGGCGTCCATGCGTCATGAAAACGATGCTGATCCCTATTTACACAGTGAGAAGAATGACATGCACTGTTTTATTCAAAAACATGGATTGTGTATCAACACAACTTTACAAATTGGAAATTGAATGCGGTTCCTATAAGTTTCCTAAACATGACATGAACTTGTCTTTGAGCCTGCTCAACACGAAAACATTTGCAAATTTTCCAAATCGTGTCAAAAGCATTCGTTTAATTCACGTCATATTCGTAAACACCGCCCGGACAAAACGAAAGAAACCGATCGCATTCGCGACAAACCTTGCTATACATCTTCCCTTGAGCGAAACCCAAAAGAACTTTCACAAAATGCACATACACATCCAACATAGAGTGAGACCACAATCAACAAACGATCACCACGGAATGGAATGCTAATGGCGTTCGTTGGGACATCTACCTTAAAAGCATTTTCCAATCCAAGCTGTCCATTTCCACGTCAACGAACACGTGCTTGGAATATCTTGTCTGCGTCCCCTAAAGGTTTCCTCGGGCAGGGGATGGGCGCGTTAAGGTAGTCACTAATTCATTAAATGACCATGTGGTTTTGGTTATATTCGGTGTATGTATCGGAAGAAGCATGACACGGAATTGGGCGATTTTGCCACGATTTTGCCAAAAACACATGTTTCGTGACTATCTGGGAACCTGAACTGCTTTTTACCCCCCAAAAAACACATCCGTGATGGTGTGGTAAACGTAGCCTGAAAGCATCCAGGGGCCATCCCAAGGGTATCCAGCCGCCTAAACCAGAATCCCAATATGCCAATAATCACCACCCATCCCATGCAAACGCTAAGTCAACCGTGCGGAACTGCAGCGGCAATTGCATCCACAAGCTCCCAGCAGCCACAAAGGAAAATAAGCTACAACATAGAGCGCGAATAGTAGTAGTAGTAGTAGTAATAGTAGTAGTAGTAGTAGTAATAGTAGCGCTAGTAGTAGTAGCAGCAATGGCTGTAGCAATGACAATAATTAAAAGATCGGACAACCCCACATGTGTAGTTAACCAAGATATAAACGACAAAAGTTCCAGGTGCTGTCGCCCGCCGAGGAAAAACAAACGAGACTATAACTGATAACTGGCGACGAAACAGAGAACATGTTGTGCCAGGACAGATACCGCGAGAGGGTCGTCGATTCCAAACAAAGTTATGAGGACGCTCCACACGCCAAGCTGCCACGCGCCCAAGACAGCGAAACCGTCGTCGATTCCAAACAGAATTCTGACAACGTTCCGCGCGCCACTGCTTCCACCTGTCGAAAACCAACAAGAATGTCGTCGATTCCAAACAGAGTTCGCGGGAGGCTCCGCGCCCGTGCTACCCACCAACAGGACGCCTCCAAAACCACAGATCGGAACATCGGTGTAGAGGTCGCACAGAACTCGCATTGCGAGGACGCGAATAACAGAAAACTGAACCGCTGGCAGAGCCACGTCGCCCAGAGGATTCTCGGAAATGTCTCCGAGATGCTGATGCTAGCCTTTCTGCCAAAGAAACAGGGAAGAGATCAAGAATAAAGCCTGAAGAAACAAACATGCAGCGCACTCCAACATGTTTTGGAATGCATAGCCCGGGTCCAAAGATAACCGAACATCATCATTTGCAGAAAAATCCAATTGATTCAGCTGGCTCCAATCAGCGAGCGCTTGAAAATCTTTGGTTCGAGGATCTTTTGCACATCAGTTGCAACAACATTTCTCCATACGAATAGTTGACAAAAACTAATTTTTCAGATCTTTGAGGTTCGCCTCTAAGAACCCTGAACCCTAGAATGCATGTATGGACCCTTGAAGATGCACATGGAAATGCATGTAGAGATGTCAGCATTCCTTGGAAGCAGTAGATTCTAGGAGAGAAATTACCACAGGCATATGCACATGCATTTTGGGATCCATCATTTCTACATGCATTTTTTTTGGAACTGCCATCCTGAACATACGCACATTTGGGCCCAGAATTTTCCAGGACGCTAGAGCTGCCCCCGAAAACGGAGATTCTTCCCCGGAATCTTTCCCCTTCTAGGCCTATCGTTCTTGTCATACTTGCCTTAGTCTTCAGACGCAATTCGCTTTTGGCTTATCTTGCCTTGACAAATAAGTTTGCTTATGCGACTCAACAAAAAACTATTCTTCAGTCAAATCTACCGCTACAAAGCAAGATCCTTTCACAATTCATTCATATTCTGGTAAAGGTGCAAGCACGGAAACTCTTGTTTTCCACAAGGGCAAAAGCGTTGGTGACATCCATGGTTCTTATTCTTTTAAAATCTGACGGACAGGATTTTCCCTCCGGGTGTGGAATTGAGAAGTATGGCAGAGCTTTCGGCCTGAAAAGAAAGCGCGACTGCCCAAAAAACACTCTAGACATTTGCTGAGCTGGATGCCATAGCTTCCATCACGCTCAGGGAAATGTCCCCAAAAAGGCTGAAGCAAAAGTGATCCAGAAGTTAAGGTGTGCGTAAAATGATCAAAATTGCGACAGGGACCAACCGTTGCAGCTGCTAAGTTGAC